ACACCTGCAAGTTTGCCATAAAAACAGCAAACACACAAAACATGGGAAAAAGACCAACACAGCGGTGGAAAGGGTCTTCGTCGACTATGACGTACAAAATCTTCCACTCCAATAGAGTTGTCGCTCTAAGGAAGCCTTGCGAATATGATGCAGTGGATTTCGATTGGTCTAGACAAAGAAATCTGCCGGCTTCGTGTAGACTGTCTTAACAAGTACTTGGAATTTGGCGTCGAATTCCGTCGCGGCGCCGCAGTTGCCATGGGCGAAACTAGCTAATACGACCGCATACGGCGTATCACCTGCCTCGGAAACGGGCCCCCGCAGAGATGAACAAGTCTCAAATCCAACCGCGCACACCTTATCACCTGTCTTGTACGCCGGTCCATCTAGACACTGATATTTTGGCCGTAACTTCAACTAACCCGACCCTAACAACAACAACCCTACATCTGCCCACCAACCAGCATAGTTTATTTATTTCATTACTATATAAATGTAAAGGCTTGACGGGAATTTATCGAAAACAAACATATGTTAACCAATCTACCTTCTGAAAATCTAGAACGAAAGTAAAGTTTTAGTTGCTTACGGAATGCCAATTTGTCGTTTTTCCTTTGAAGCGTAGTGATCGCGAGTGAAAACCACGAGTGCTTTAGCGACTAGATTACGTTATGATCGAGCCAGTCTCCAGCGCTTTTATTAAATGCAACACAAAATAAAAAAGGAGACACGATTGTTTGCCAAGGTCTTTCCAAAAGCGACTTAGCCTGGGTTCTACCAGCAAAGGTACAATGAAATCAAAAATTGGCAAAATAATAGCTAAGAGACGTGGATTAAAGGCCGCTGTTCCGACAAATCCGTCTGCAGATGTAACCATAGGAGGTGTATGGCGTGCCGTTTACGCCGTAAATATAAGTCAAGACTGTACAAAAATTTATTTTATTAAGGGCTCTGTGGCTTGACGGACGTTTTCATTGCCTTTTTGACAGCTGACTTGAATTTGCGCTTTATATGTTCGAAACAGGTGCGGAGGCAGTACAGCCCGTTTCTCAATACAGCGACGGCTGGTTCATCTATGAGTGAAAATGGTTGAACAAGTTAGAATATTGAACACGGAACGAAGAAGATGGAAAATGTATCAACGTTGCAGTCAGACCTCTTACTGGCTACGTTATTTAATCGTTACATAAACTCACGTCATTTATTCACTCTGTTCAAGTTTTGGAAAGGATCAAGGTAGTGGCATGCCTGGGAGGTCTCTTCGAACAGACCAAAACAGAGAACGCTTATCTACTGGATGAAAACCTAGCTATCACTTCTCGCTTGGGTCAGAAGGCTTGACCAAAAGGTCAAAGAAGAATGCGTCTCAAAATACCAAAGCAGAAGTGGATCGAAAAGTACTCTAAAAGGCTCCTCTTAAAGAGGAAGTAACGGCATAGAAGAGGTGAAAATGAACTGTCAGGCAGACAAAGTCGTTTTAGGGGTAAGAATGAGTAGACTGTCATTCAGCCAAAGTGCATCACAAATGCGATTGATGTGGGCAATTTACCTTGGCTTTGGATCTCAAAACAGATGGCATCTTCAAGCGGGTGAGGTTGGCAATAACCACACAGCTTAACGGCGTCGCTGAAAGGCAGAAAGCGAATGATAAAATACAACTACGAGGGGGCTAGACGTGACTAGTAATTTATCCGAGAACTACTTGCTCGTCACCACTTTTTTGGAACTCGCGTGACTGCCCAATCAAGAGTTACCTCGGCTGGAAATCGAAAAAAAGAAACGCTTTTGGTTGCTCGTGGTAAGTTTTGAACAAACAAATCCAGCCATAGTAAGGTCGATTTAAGCATGCGAAGGAAAATTTTAAATTAGATTAGGTTGAATGAACTATCTCCGGACAAAGGGAATTCGCCTCGACGAATTCGTTCACATCAAAGGATATGGAAAACCCCCAAAGGACACGTGATGAGTGGAAATTCAATCCTTGTTACATGCGCCAGTGTACGGGAGGATGTTATTTAGTATTTTCTACTCGACCGGGCTTTTACTAGGCAAATATCTTCGTCGGAGTAGATATTTATTAGTTTTTAAAACGTTTGCCATTAGCAGACATGCACCAATGGCGCGCAATTGTCCCCGTTGTTTTCATTTAAGCAAAACCGAAAGATTAACACACCCAGAGGAAAAATTGCAATTATTAATTGTAAAATAATTGTTCAGTTACCTCTGTAATATGCAATACCGGAGGGCAGCACCGAGGGTATGATCTTCTCCAGTGAATCTGAATGTGGCCCGACGCAAGTCAGGAGAGACAAAAATGGCATCTAGACCAACAACTCGTCCGTACAACCGGGTGTGCGCATTTTCATCGGCCTAAAACCGACAGAAAGTTAGGTCAGGTTCCAGAGGTGGGGCGATGTGCTGACAGAGTAGTCTCTGATGGCTCACTTACCTCGGAGGCTGTGAGGACTGGATCGGCTTCAACCTCGGTTACAGGGGTACTGGCGAATCCTGGGCGTTCTACAATGGCTAGGTAATGAGCACACTTCTGTAAAAGAACATCAATGGCCGCCTTGACTAGCGTGTCGGGTGGACGATAACCCGGCGCGATGGACTCGACGGTGAAAAGAAAGTGTCGAGGGTTAAGAGTAACTTCCACGACGTCGGTCAACTCTGGCAGTCGAAGGTATTCCCTAGATCCATTGTCAAGGCGGGAATTCGAAACTGAGGCGACCCCCGTAACTGAATCAACCTGTAAGGAAACGAGATGAGTTCCAAAAAAACGCAAATATTTGAAAATTAGCATTTAAAACTAATAGAAATAGAGTTCTGGTCCAACTTACACTGATGACCC